TATCCCTCCTCCTCAGCGACTCCCTCAAGACCGGGCGGGCCTCTTTCCAGGAAATCGAAGAGCTTGCTCAAACACCAGATGTGCTCCTCTCTCTTGATTAAGCGCGCCGTTGCTTCATCATTGAGCTGTATCCGAATCTGCACCGGCCTGCGGCACGGGTGGGGGAGGGGCGGGCGTGAGCTACGGTCTGCTTCTCCACACACACAACGGTGGTGGGGCAAGGGCCCAAGGCGACCCCCGCATCTCCACACCGAGACATGCGGGAGCCGGCACGGAGAAGGGGGGGGAGGGGGGAGGGGGGGCTTCTGGGCCCGGGGCGGCGGTCCTCGCCTTCCCCGGCGGTGGGCGGCTCCTTTGGCAGCCCCGCCTCCGAGTTTAGAACATCGTGCATCAGCATCAGCGCCGCCGCCACCTGCGCCTCGGTGCCGGTCACGCGCAGCTGCTGGCACGGCTCGCTCGCGCCGGGCGGCGCGGGCAGGTCCTCGTTGTCGATCTTGATGAAGGCGCGGGAGGTGTCGCGCAGCCGCCGGATGGTCGCGCCGCCTGGCGGGGCGTCGGCGCGGTGAGGACTAGGCTGGATCCAGCCGCAGTGCCGCCGGGGGAGCGCGCACCGGGGCCGATGAGCCGGCTGACCTGCGACTTTGCAAACATCTCGGTCACGGCCACGGCCGCCGAGCCCGGAACGAGCTGCTGCTGGCCGCCGCCCGGCGGCTCCGCCGCGCCGGCCCTCGGCGGCTCGGCCTTGCTCCTCGCCGTGCTTCCCGGGAGGGAGCCGCCGCCGGTCACCGACGTCGCAATCGCGGCCAGGCAGAGCTTGGCGGCGTGGATCTGGGCCTCGCTGCCGCTGAGAGAGACGACCTGCATGCCGCACACGCTCTCGTTGCTCACGACCACCTTGGCTCCCGTGGACTCGCGTATAGACTTTATGGTGGATCCTCCTGGGCCGATAATCTTGCCGCACGTCTCCCGGTCGTAGAGCGCAGTCTCGAGCTCCGCCGCCGCCGCCGCCCGCTCGTGGGAGGGGTATGCCGGGCCAGGGCCCGGTGCCACGAGGTTCATCGCGTGGGGCGCCCGAGCGCCGGACGCCTCACTGCGCGACCCAGGGCAGTGTCGTCAGTCGCACTCCCAAAGCTGCCGACTGAAGTGTGCTCCAAGTCTCTCATCGAAACGAGGCGGCCACGTTTCTTTTTCTCGGTGCGGCGGCGGCAATGTTGTTTGTTTTAGGGAGGATGTGGCCTTGAGTTATGTGTACGCCTACTCAGGGTGTGTGGCAGCCCGCTGGCTGTGTGTCTTGTGAGCCTGTTTGTGTCTGTGTGTCGCTCGTGCGTGTCGTCATCATCTGTCTAGCTAGCGTCCACCCATACCGCGTTGGTGTCCAGTCCGAGCCTGGCTGTTCTTCACCTTTCTACCTACCTACTTGGCGAGAGAGCCTGATTGGAGGCGAGCTGACGCTGCGTCAGGGTGCGCAGCATGCTCTCTCGCTCTGGAGCGGCCGCACACTGCTCGGTACCCCCCCTGCACACCTAAGCCCATGGCCGACCCCCCCCCCCAGCAGCAGCGCTCTGCGAAGAGCGACAGCGTGCGTGTTCACGAGCTCCTCGATGAACGCGATTGCCTCCGCGAGCATCGGCACCCCGGACGTGGCCCACCCACTCGGGGGCGGCACCAACGGGGATACGTCCTCGAGCCGCCACAGCAGATAGAGGACGTCGAGTACGCGCCCAGTCGAGGCGGCCGGTGCGATGAGTCGCGGATGCGCCCAGCCGAAGCCGCCATTCCTCTGCGAGAGGTGCATCGCCTCCTCGCACCGCCGCTCCGTCGGGCCGGCGGGGTTGGCGTCGTGCTGCACGTCGCGCTCGCCGCCGCGCCGCGCCCCCGCCCGATGATTAATATTTAATAATTATTACCCGATTAATAACGTGTGTGTGTTTGTGTGTGTGTGTCTGTGTGTTTGCCTGATGGCAGGGAAGTCCAAGGCAGCTGCGAGCGGCAGGTGGCGTCGGCGACGTACTCAGGACACGATTGCGAAGCCCACAGCGCAGCATGCGCGGCAGCAGCTCGCCGGCGGCCCGCGTACTCGACCCCTAAATAAACTCAAAGTCCACCACAGCCTCCAGCCACCGCCTCCACCCTCGAGCCGCCACCGCTGCCGCTCTCGACGCCGCCCACCGCGTCAGATTCCCGCGACGCGCGCGGTGAGCCGAGTCGCAGAGCCGCGCCGCACCAGCAGCAGCATCAGCACCAGCAGCACCAGCACCAGCAGCAGCAGCATCAGCAGCAGAGAGAGGAGAGCGCCTGCCGCTCTCACGCAGCCCGCAATCCGCCTGCCGTGCGCGATCGACGCTCGCAGACCTCCGCGTAGAGCACCGCGCAGTCTCCTCGAGGACCAACGCAGTCCAATCCAGCAGTGCAGGATGATGTACAGCAGTGCAGCAGAGCGGCGCGCAGCTCCGCGCACGCCACGCCGCGGATGGTCGTGCGAGCGCAGCGCGCGTCGGCGGCGAGCCGCGGCGCCAGCCGTCGCTCGAGAGAGCGGCGCCGCTGCGAGCGCGCAGCAGCCGCCGCGGCAGAGACGAGCCGCGGCGACGGCCGCACAACTGATAACTGCCCCAACCGTCACTCGCCCTGTTCAGTGGTAGAGCCCGACAAGCTGCCGAGCCGCGAGCCCGAAGGAGGTGGGGTCCTCCTCCTCACACCCGCCGTCACCCCGGCGGCCCGCGCACGCACGCCGTCTGAGTCTAGCGCAGCGCGAACTCACTCTGAGCTAGCGCAGCGCGAGATTTGCGCAGCAACCCGGCCGGGCAACCCTTGAAAAAAAGTTATCACACTGAGTTGTCAAAGTCGATCGCCTTCCACATGGGCTGCTTACCCAGCCGCGTCGAGGCCCCGACCGAGGAGCTGCCCGGCCCTCCCGCCGTCGAACTCGACGCCCCGACGCCCGCCGACACCGCCCCGCCGACGCAGCCGGCAGACGCCCTCCCCTCCGCCCCCGATCTCGGCGTGAGCGAGACGAAACTGGAGCCGCTCGGCCCTCCCGCCGTCGAACTCGACGCCCCGACGCCTGCCGACACCGCCGCGCCGACGCAGCCGGCCGCCGCCCTCCCCTCCGCCCCCGATCTCGGCGTGAGCGAGGAGAAGCTGGAGCTGTGGCGCGAGAAGGGCGGCGGCGACCTCGAGCCGGTCCTCGCGAGCGGCGCCGTCGCTGTCCTCGACGCGCAGTGGGTCATCCGCCACGCCGAGGCGGGCGGCGTCATCGCCCACCGTCAGGCGCTGCCCAAAGAGGCCTTCCTCTCTTTCGCCGACCTCGTCGAGGCGACCGGCGAGGATTGGCTTCCCGTCGGAGCGCTCTCTTACCCGTGGCTGACCAAGGACCACCCCGACCCGCGCGGAGCCAACCTCTCCCGCGTCGCGAGGGCGCTCAAGGCCCTGCTCAGCGATCCCGACATCCCGCGGCTCGGCGTGTTTTGGGACTTCGGCTCGCTGCACCAACACCCCGACCCCCCCGACAACACCGAGGAGCAGAACGCGCTCTTCAAGCAGGGGCTGGGCTGCATCGGCACGCTCTACTCCCACCCGCACACGTTCGTGCTGCGGCTGACCTCCTTCCCGGACGGCCACAAGGCGGAGGATCAGGCCGAGGGCACCAACGTGGCCAAGTACTTTGACCGCGGCTGGTGCGCCACCGAGAACGCCTGGACCAGCCTCACCAAGGACTTTGACCTCTCGCTCGACCTCGGCAAGATGCGCGCCGGCAAGGAGTACGACTTCGACAGCCTCACCGACGACTGCACCCAGGACGGCGGCCGGCGCCCTCCGCTGCTGC